CTTGAGGTCAGACCCGATCTCACGCATATTTCAACGCTCTTCCCTAATATCGACGATTCGATTTCTATTTGACATTTATATATTCTGACACAGAGTGGTAAAAATATTTGTCATTGGCAGCCTGTGTGTACAGCGCGAGCAAAGTAATTAAATAGAGTAGCCAAGATAAACGATATAAGGTAAACAATGCGTGAATAATGTGCTGGGTGGGGCGTGGCGGGGCGGGGGGGGGGGGGGGGTGGGGTGTCTTTGCTGTCGCGATATCGAGGCATAAATATTTAATGAATAGTCTCGAGAAGGATGATCTCGGCGAATCTTGAGAAGCGCGATTAAAGCCGAAAGAAGAAAGTTAATGCGATGGTGGTTAGGGAAAGGCTCTCGCCGCGCCTTTAGGTAGCAACGAGGCGATAAAGCGGCCAAGTACTCGCGAGCATAACAAAGGAGCTTACGTTCCTATTGCCGAGAGACGCGTTAAATTTAATCTTCGTTGACCGAGCGGCGAACACCTCGGGTGGCTCGGGGTCGCGCGGCTCCCCCGCAAAGGTGAAGCCCGGGGCCGGTGAGAGGGGACCGACCGGGGGCCGGGTAAGCCACGACTGTTTCTCGAGCTAATTTGCGAGGGTGGCCTCGCACTCTCGAACCCTTCGCTATCATAATCCGTGGCCTAAGCCCTGCTGTCCGTCCGAAACTTGGAGACTGCGCGAAACTTGGTGCGCCTCGCCTTCGCCAGATGCCGACCTCGGCAACTGCTGCGCAAATGCTCCGGACCGTGTCGAGACTCTCAATTTATGCCTCTTTGTTATTATTCATTCGCGAATCCGAGGTGTCGGAGTCTCGCTTTATTTTTAAGGGACTATTTAGGTTGAGGGCTAAACTTTACTGTGGAAGGTACTACTTGTTTGTACACGGAGGAATAATATGTTGCAAGTAGGACATTTTCGCGCTTTCTCGGTGACACGTCCGTGAAATCGATTGAGATGGAGGCAAGAAGTTATTGGCGATGATGAGACAGTGAAAATTATGTTTTTGACGTGGGTGGAGGGAATAACTATCGGTGCCCGTATATCTGCATTATGTTCGAGCTCGAACGTTTAGAAAAGATCGTAGCTGTAACGCAAGTTTCCCTTTGCAATGGCAAATTGCGAATTTCCCACTTTATCGATACTCACCTGCTTGAGCAATAATCAATTGCTTATGTACAATTGCTGCATTATACGCGTCATTAACAACTGAACAATTGCCAATTAACAACTAAATTTATTTTAATGCAATACCGAATGTTGATCTCGAATGTCTTTAGGTTTATGCGTTGCGATACTTGAAGAGTCCATAAAAATAAATATTAGGCTAACTAACGATAATACATCTATGCGATATAGGTATTTAAAACTTGTGATTGTAAGTAAATTGAACTATTTGTTTGAAATGATGAAATATGACATATTATCGTCCTGCTATTACACTTAGTGAACGTCACAATTTTAATTATCGTATTAATGCCTGAATTCTTTGATGCGCAAACTAAAATATATATTACAATATATTAAAGAGGCAATATAATGAATTGCTATGCACAGCGTCATAAACGTCGTAAGTGAAGAATGAAAATGTGCAGGCGAAAGAGCCTGGCGACGGGAAAGGTCAGGCAATCGGTAGCAATGCCCGTTATAAAGTTGCATTCGTAGACGAATGAAGAGGCTCGATTGGATCGTCGGCGAAATCTCGTATTTAAGTATTGTAGTAGCGAAAAAATAGTAGAGAATTCACGTAGTAAGGGAAAAAAGCGTCGGGGGGAGGGGGCGCCTATAATTGAGGCCGAAGCGAGCTGACAATGACAACGGACCCCCTTAGAGCACCCAAGTAGAGTCGCTAATTGCTCTCGGGACTTTCTTAAGCGCCTGGCGAGAACAATATATCAGTCAAAGGAACGACCGAGTGGCAATTTCTCCCGAGCAAAAAAGGACCTCGCGATACCTAACGACTCTCGTCGCGCGCTCCTGCCACGGAATTACAGATATTTTAATTATCGCGAGCGGATAGTGGGGAGAGCGGGGGGGGGGGGGGGGGACGAAAGGCAATCGGAGAAAAAGCTGCGACGACAACGACGCGCCGCAAAAATTCGCGCCGGACAATTATACGCACACGCGCTACGGGCACGCGCGCTTAATTTGGCGTTCGCGCGTTTACGCGGTTCCGCGCAAAAAGCATCGTCGTCATCGTGGTCGTGGTCGTTGTCGTTGTCGTTGTCATTGTCGTCATCATCGCCGTCGTCGTCGTCATCGTCGTCATCGTCGTCATCGTCGTCATCGTGATCGTCGTAGTTGTCGTTGTCGTTGTCGTTGTTGTGGTAATCGTCGAAATCGTCGGCGCGCCCAAAAAGAGAAGGACTCCGGTTGTTGGCTTTGGCGCTTTTTTAATATGCAGCTTTTTGTCGGCGGTCCACGAGGAGCGGCGCGTCCGCGGGGAATTTTTGCCCGACTCGATGTTTTACGCCGCCTCGATCGGGGCCAGTCGGGCCCTCGCCGCCGGTTTCGAGAGGATTGACCGCGAGGACATCGTTATCGGCTCTGCTCGAGGTCCTGGCCGCTTCGCTCGTGCCGACGCAGTAATAGAAATTCATGAGTCCTAATGGACGTCTCTTGAATCGCCGCCGAGTACAATTTACTTGGAGAAAGTCCCTTCACTAAATGATTAGGACGATGGGTGGGGGGTGGGGACTGTGATATTAATAAACAGCGGCAATATTATTGCGACTGACCTCGATATAAGCGGTATAATCTAATTAACGTTTCTTCTTTTTATTGCAGGTGTCAGGCAAGAACAGGACATCTTTGTCAGACTGATCGACTCCGTTACCAAGCAGGTAAAACATTTATTTCCTTTATTACAATTTCACCTACTTACTTGTCGTTTGCTGCTTTATCTTTCTCATTTATTATTTATTAGCATCATTACGACTACTGTCATTATTATTATTATTATTGTTATTATTATTATTATTATTATTATTATTATGATTATTATTATTATTATTATCATTATTATCATCATCGTTATTGTTATAATTCAAAATATGAGAGGAAATCAATTGTCATTTTTAAAGACAATCGCTCTCACTTCACGTATATCGTCATAATTTCAAATTTACATTTCTAATTAATATAGTAACAAGTTCACTCGTAAGACATTCATTCACATAATATATGAAAAAAATTATTCGCTTATCGTTTCAGCGAGCCTGCGCTAATAGCAAACACATTCTTTAAATTCACCAATACTGTACTCGTATTTAAAAAACAATTGGTCGGCAATTAACAGAAATGGACAAACCGTACAACTTTTACGAAACATCTAAAATTCATACAAATGAAGTAAAGATCTATATATTTGATAAACGAAATATCACTTTGATAAACGAAGGCGGAGAAAAATTGCATTGTGAATCACGGACTACGTCATGAAGACGAGTAAACCAATAGCTTTGGCGAAACGAACGTAAAACCCGTATCTCCTAAAAGAAACCTTCGTACATTTTCCACTGGAATACGATACACAAGTTAGTTGCCTTGCGACACGACAGCGAATCCCGCGCGTTTGCCTTTTGCGCGCATGCGCCTCGGGCTCTCGACTGCCTCCGGTTATTTCGCTCCGACATACAGTGCGTTTGTAGACTACGCCGAGGTCGTTATCGTTGCCGGTACAAGCGTTTAATTTTCCGGGGAGTTGATTTCCAGCCCTGTGAGGCGTTCCACATACATGGGCGCGTGCGTGTGCATACAGCACTACGTGTGTACATGCATCGACGAGACTGGCGCAATTCTCTCTCTCTCTCTCTCTCTCTCTCTCTCTCTGTTCCTTATCTTGGCCACGTGGCGACTACACCCTGTATGTTTTGCTCTTGGTGATTCTTTCTATTTCTTTTTTTTTTTTATATTTATTTTGCCCGATAGGATAAATTATATTTGTGTTTGGAGCACTTGGCGATCGCTGATGTTGTTCGGGTGTGGGTGCTCGATCGACTTTGAAGCATTGCGATTCAATGGATATCAAATAGCTAAAATTACTATATTGCTAAAACTATTTAACTATATTCAAGCAACGGCTTAGATTTATTTAACAAACATGTTTTTTTAATAGTTTAATAGAGCGTCTGTTAAAATTAGGTATTGCAAGATATTATAATACCACCTAATAATAACCATATGACTTTACGATTTTACGAAAGGACACGTATTTATTATTTAATGTATTATTAGAAATATATTAAATGTTCGTTATTAAAGAAAACTATTTTTATACCAAATTTTCTTCAAAAATCATAAAAACATCTTAAACATTTAAATATTATGTGTTTGTATCCATAACAACTCTCTCTCTCTCTCTCTCTCTCTCTCTCTCTTTCTCTACAAATATATTCCTATTTGTAAATAATGATATCTAAAATATTGTAAAATTGTAAAATAAAATTTTGGACATTTTCATTTGAAAGATAAATATTTAATCGTCGTCTATTAAAATTTTTTACATATAAAATAGAATATTGTTTACTAGTTTAATAAAATGAACGAATCAATTTTCATTACATTATCTTATAATTTGTTTATCATGAAAAATGTCACAATCTCTAAACACAACATTATCATCTCTCCCTTTAGCCACTCACTCAATTTATTTCTCTATACACTTTCACCCCCCAGTAATATCGCCGTTAATACTCTCCTTTAGGCGTATCCGTTATCTCTCTCACGATTTCGGGCCCCATCTCTCTCGCCGAAAACATTGGCATGCGTTAAAAGACAAAGAAAAAATGGAGAGATAGATTGAGAGCGAGTGAGAGAATAGTGAGAGAGAGAGAGAGAGAGAGAGAGAGAGAGAGAGAGAGAAACATACATAGGAGATCGAACGATAGACGCTAGCGGCGTTGGCGACCCTAAGAAGGATCATAACCTTTAAGCAAACGCAAATACACGTGCACCCGCACAGATTACGAGGTTTGATAAGAACATAAGAGCGGAGCTAAAAAAGCGATAGAGCGAGAGAGAGAATGAGAGAGAGAGATAGTATGTGAGAGGGGCAAAGAGTAAAAAAAGCAAGGAGGAAGAGCGAGAATGTGGGTGCGCGAGAAAGGACGAAGAGTCTTTCGAAAAGTCCAAGAGAACGTGGTATTACGCTCTACTTTTTTTTTTTTTGCTTAAGCTTATGCCTTCGTGACGGAAGTATTGGGCATTTGCACCTACTACAATGCGTAAGAGCCGCTGCTAAACTACGCATATTTATGGCCATTATTCCGTATTTGCTGATGAAGCACTGGTGAAATAAATTTGTTATATATACGCATGAAAATTTCCCTGTTACATTAATGACTTTTATTTGCCAAAATATTCTTGTACTTTCGTTAACGGTAAAAGCACACATTGTAAAGCAAAACTTCTCATACATCCGTGTATATAGTACGTACGGATTACATCAAATTTTCATCAATGCATCCCCGACTTTGTTAACATTTCTCGATTCTCGCGAGCTCATGTGCACCATAAGACTCCTTCAATTTAATGATTATTCGCAGAGTGATAAATATTTCGAATTGCCGACGGTATTAATTTAAAGTTCCAGTTTGCCGTAAATTTATATGGGAATAATCGGGATTTCTTCTTGCCAAATAACGACGCTCGATCGTTCGCCGCGTCGCATTCCCTCGCGTAATTAATGCCCGGGCGAATAATGAGTATACAAAAAAAAAAATTGATTCTTTAAGCGCCAACGACATGGGAAGTCGGGCAAGAAAAGCAATCGTTTATACCGAAGTAATCACTTCATGCCAAGCCCTTGGCGATCGAATTATTTAGTGTACATCGCGTCGCTTGTCATGGCGAAGACGCCCTTATAAACAGCACGTCGACGAGGTCCTTGAGACCGGGGATAGGGACAACGGGGGGAAAAAGAAGGGCCGAAAGGAGCGCGCGACCATTTTAGCGAGATTAAATCATTTCAGAATCGGTCGCCAGCGCTACACTACGTGTTGTTAGGGCGAAGATAGTCGGGAGAAAAAAGAGAGTCTATGTTAGTTTTAGCTGATTAAATTACTAAGCCGCGACGGAGTTGCGCCAGGATTCGCGATCCATTTCTTCTATTAATCGACTCGAAGACTATCAGTACTCCTCCATTTTTTTTTTTATTCCGATCCTTTTCTTTCTTACTTCCTTCCTTCGCTCCCTCTTAGTATTTCTCGCGTGTGATGGCTCTTCGATATCCTGCGGCTCTTTCCGTTCGATAATAACTTGGAATTTCGAGACGACGGAAAATTTCACCCCACCTTTCTTTTCTATAATATAGCTATTCGAAAAGTTTCAGTATGATTTAAATATTAGCCAAGCTTTTATCTTTCACCGTCGTTTAGTTTTGTTTTTCTTTATTTTGTTTTTTTATTTATTTATTTTTTGTTTGTTCGTTTATAAATGCCAATATATATATATATATATATATATATATATATATAATGGGCTTTATATCGATTGTCAATGACGATTAATCAAAGGATAATAAAGCATGACGAAGCACGAGGTTTGTATTATTAAGAAAAAACAAATTTTTCTTTTTCCTTATTTCTTCTTCTTTTTTGTTATTATCATCCATGGTATAATTCAGAATATAAACTAAAGTAATGAATGAACGTTTTTGTTTTCCCCATAGCAAAGCACATCATCGTAATCTGCTTTTGATAATCTTACTCAATTTAATGGTAGTGCTTGAGTAAATCATTTCAAACTTGCTCAATCCTCGTCTCATTACGCAATACCATCGGAATATGCTAAAAATCTCGCTTTCAAAAGTAATATCAAACTGTCATTATTATTCGCATTATCGTTCGTAAAAATAATTCGTAATTATGGGCGGATCGTATGAAGTAGAAAGAGAACGTTATTTATCACGGGGCGAATGCGCTAAATCGTTGATAACGAGCGCCTGTGAATAATATCGAATCTATTTTGCTTGAATAACGACGTAACCCATATATTAACATTTCCAAAGGAATTTCTCGACTTTACGTCATCGTATAAGGTAAATTTCTATACAACAATTACAAAATACTTGTCCATAAGTTTTTGGCGATAAAATCCTTCTTTTATCCCGTTGAATTGCGCACGCATTGTGCGCGGACACGTAATCGCGATCGCAAAATAAGGAAGGAAGAGGAAAGAAATTTTACGAGCGAGGTACCACTTTATAACGGCATGCAAATCACGATTTTCTCCTGATTTGGAGAATAGGAGCCGTGGCTGCGGCTGTTATAAATCCGAAATAATTGGCTGGAGGATGTGAGATTTTCAAATTGCCGCCCTACCGTCGTAATATTCTCCTGCCCTTTACGCTTCATTGTCTATTACTGTCTTTATTTTTTCAATATTTTCAGTCGTATTATTATGCCATTTGTAAAATATAGAGACACGTAAAATGTTTATCAGGCATTCTAATACTTTTCACTATCCGATCACCATTCCATTTTTGCTATTTGCGCGATATAACATTTTACGGTAAACCAATAGCCGTGCATTTGAAATAATTGTATTTATAGAGGCCGGTGATTCTTGAATTTTCACTTTGTTCAGTAATGCCTTATCTACGAGTGCTAATTATCTAAGCCGGAGAAAAGCGTCGTTTATTTGAAAGAATTGACAGTAATCGATCTACGCAAACTCACGAAAAAAGTCGATAAAATATTGGCAAATTGTTCCGTATTGCCATATACATATACATATTGGACAAAAATTTGGGAAAAGTCTGCAAACATTTTCTTAATTCGATAATTTACAATTATATATCTTTAATGCTTGTCCAATATTAAAAAAAAATATCGATAATTTC